CCTTCACTATTAGAATCAACTCGTCAAGAGCTACAATTTGTTGTATAATTATGCAATGTTTCGTTCATTTTCACCGACTTCCGTTTCATCCTCACCAAAAACTTCAGGTGTCTAGAAAACCACTTTCCACACGTTTTTTCAAAAAAGCGTAAGCGAGACCTTTAGATTATTTTTGATGCTTTACACGACGGGCAAATTGAATTTTTCGCGGCTAATAGTGAATGTAATAGTGGGCGGACCTGCGCGGAAAGACCCGTGAGTAATGTTGCTAGAGAGAAAACGTTGACTCAGCAAATTTCAAGGATAGTACTTCGAAGTTAAATGATCTCTCCTTTTTTTTCTGCAAAATGCTGTTTCCGATAGTTCGTTTATTTTTATTATTTCTGGAAGACTTTAGTATATATATAAGAACCCCTGTTTAGTTAGCATAAATAGTTCTTAAGTTATTGGGGTGTTGATTTTAGGTGTTTTGAAGGCTTTTCACTTCTCATTTTAGATCGTTCCATCTTCCAGAACTACTCCAAGCGTTGACTATTCGTCAAAGACAGCGGCAAAGCTGACTATCGGCACACATGGGAAAGATCCAGGTAGATTTAATTGTCCAGTGGACGTCGCATATAGTCAAACCAGCGGACAGATTCTTGTCGCTGATAGCAATAATCATCGAATACAAATATTCAACGGAAATGATGGTCGACATTGTACAAGTTTTGGTGAGTTATACTGGACTATAACACTGGCCTATAAATAGTGTGACTTTGAACGATCTTCTCTTGTTTTCTAAGGTGGAAAGGGTACAGCAAATGGAAAATTTGATTGTGTCAGTGGTTTATGTATAAATTCAGCTCAATATATTTATGTATCAGATCGAAATAACCACCGCGTACAAATATTTGACCGATACGGAAGGTTTATTCGCACTCTAGGTTCAACTGGAGACGAAGGTGAATTAAAACATCCGTGTGGCATAGCAGTTGATAATCTCGGACACGTTTACGTTTGTGATAAAGAAACGAATCGGATCGTTGTATTCCATGAAAGTGGACGATATATGCGTTCATTCGGTACTCGGGGTACAGGTCAAGTACAATTCGATAAACCATCTGCTATTGCGCTAACAACTGATAATCGTCTTGTTATTAGTGACACATCAAATCATCGAATTCAAATTTGTGATCCATTTGGAATCTTTTTTCTCACGTTCGGTTCGGAAGGAACCGAAAACGGATACTTTAAGTCCCCACGCGGAGTCACCGTCGATTCGGAAGGTTTTATACTTGTCGCTGATTCGGGAAATAGTCGTATCCAAATATTTCGATCGGACGGAACGTTTGTTTGTCCATTTGGCTGTGATGGAACATCAGCGGGGCAATTTCGACAACCAGAAGGACTAACTGTTATGTCTAATGGTGATGTAGTCATAGCAGATAAAGAAAATCATCGGATACAAATAATGTGATTTTGAATTTTTTTCGCGATTTTTGTTTATATCAGATGAGTAATTTACTTTATTCTTTATTCTTTCACACAGTGATAGCAAGCGTTTATTGCTTGCCTGTTTTTTATGGTTGCTTTCTTTCCTATAGTTCAATATGCGCTGGATCGCTGATGTTTCACTATAATAAACTTCTATTACCGCTTTTTTCATTTTTAAGCAGTAGACGTTCTCAGAACATTTCATTTTTGAAATAATATTCACGCTTGATTGATTATATACGATTTTTAGTTGATTAAATATCAGAACTGGGATCGGGCTCTGTTGTCTGCATAATACTTGTGCAGGTATCGAATTGTTTCAGATATGAAATCTGCAGCTATTTAGCAAAATATGGTTGATGAAGATAATGCACCACAAGTTTATTTACTTGGGAAAACATCCTTAGTTGCTAGTAGTCGAAATCAGTTTTATATACGAAATGATCCAGTATTGCAAATTGCTTGTGGCGACCAACACACAATTATTGTGACACAAAGTGGTCGTGCATTTGCATTTGGCGATAATAGTTCTGGTAAGTATGTATAGTTCTATATCTTTCGCATGGTTTAAACTAAACTAACTTTCTTTTATTTTCAGGACAACTTGGTTTGGGACACAATGATAAAGTTGACAAAGTATCGTGTATTAAAAGCTTGAAGTTTAATGATGATCGTGAAAAAGTATGTTTAGCAGCATGTGGTCGCGAGCATTCGATTGTGACAACAACCAAAGGTTCCCTGTACAGTTTTGGTTCGAATTCTATTGATCAGCTGGGAATTGATACTAATAAATATAAAGGAGAATCAACAGAATCAAAATCATCATTGTATTCAAAGCCAACAAAACTTGACAGTTTACCAGCAAATATTATGTGGAAACGCTTGGCAGCGGGAGCGGAACACAGTTGTGCACTAACAAAACAAGGCACAGTTTATGTATGGGGATCGAATTCAGACGGACAGTGTGGATTTCCTAAGCAACAAGAAACAATTAAATTACCAAAAGAACTGAAACTACAATATCGTGTAAAAGAAATTGTAAGTGTGCAAAAGAAAGGAAATTTATCGATTTAATTTAATTTTCTTGTAGGCATGCGGTTATTATCATACAGCACTTGCTAGTGATGATGGATCGTTGTATACATTTGGAAATAATAGTGATCAACAATTAGGACGTTCTTCGTCAGAAAAACAAACTGGACCTATCCATGTTCCATTACCAAATCCTGTCAAGTCTGTCGCATGTGGAAACCAGCATACAGCTGTTCTAACAGATAATGGCCATATTTTAGTAGTCGGTAATGGTGAACGAGGTCAACTAGGATTAGGACGATCTTTGTCGTCAACGGAACGTTTTGAACCAGTTAATGAGTTTAAAGGAAAAAAAGTAATAGCTATCGATTGCGGTGAATCTCATACAGCGGCCATTGTAGGAAAAGGAGATTTATACACGTTTGGCGATGGAAGTCATGGAAAATTGGGCGTCAAAGATGGAAAGGTAGAAAGTGAATTTTTACCACGCCTTGTTGATAAATTTCGACATTTAACTGTTCTAAATGTATCGTGTGGTGGTTGTCATACGATATTGCTTGCTCAAGAAAAGTCCACAAGCAACAAAAATGCATCAGATTCGGATGATGACATTAAAGGTATGTGTAAAAAATAGTAAAATTTTTTGTACTGCCCTAGTATATGAATATTAGAATAACACGAGATGACCTTCTGAAAATTTATGCTAGTGTTTAGCAAACAAAAATCTTTTCAGACTTTGTAGAAAACCACTCTTGATTAGCAATCTTTCCTACATTTTCTTTAGATACGACATTAAGTGAAACTCATGTGAAATCTCTTTCAAATAATTTATCGAAAACAATAACGTCTTCTCAATCGCATCGCTATCCTCCGCGTCATAATCCCACAATGCGTACTGAGCCCACATCAGATGACGAGAACGAATCGAATGAAGAATTTTCATCTTCTATGAAAAGTGCTACATTCAATCAAACACGCACGCTAACAAATGGCAAACTAAAACCTAAAGAAAGTTTAACACATAATCGACCATTAGACACTCGCGATGAATTTACTCGAACTGGTACATTGGATCGTACAACAAAATTACAAAAGCTGACCACAGCTGATAATGATGCAACATCAGATAGAGATTTGAGAAAAACAACGTTACAATCTCTTAGTACACAAGCTCGGAACAATAGCAGTCGATTAGTGCCTTTTGATCAAAATAATAACAGATCACTGCTAACTGAGCATGATCGACGTGATCTAAGATTAAACGCTAAAAGTTATGATGATGATGATGATGATGAAAATAAATTAAGAAGTCAGACATATGCAAAAAAAAATCGATTTGATGAACCACCAATTAAAAACTCGCATACTGCTTACGATACATTTGATAATGAACAAAAGCCTCAGTCAGATCGTTCAAGACGTTTAGCACCGCTCAGGATTGTAAATAATGAACGGGATTCGTCACCAAAACGCACGCACAGTTCAGATATAACAGTAAGAAGAACGCCCATAAAAAATATGGAAGAAGATAGCGAAAATTCAGAAAATGAAAATTATACCTCACGAAACAATAATAGAGAATCTCTCAGAAACAGCAATGCACCCAAACTCTCAGCACACATTTCCTCAACAACGAAAAATAATAAAGGGTCACCTGATATGCGTAGTAATCGAAAATCCAGCATAAAGCAAAGCGATGACAGTGATGACAAACCATTATCATCGAGTAAAAAAACGTCCACTTCAGCGATTAATCAACAACTGAGACCAAATACACGTGTAAACTCTACCACTCAGAACAGTCCTTTAGTACGAAAAGCAAATACAACACGTCAAACTCAACAACTAGCTTCGAATGATGAAGATGATGGTAGTAGCGATGGTGATTACCGAGAAACTAATCGAAATCAAATTCATAATCATCAGACCGTGCGTCGAGGATCATTGCCAAATGATTCGCGGAGTGCACCATACACGGGTTCATTGCATCGAGATGAAAATCAAACAATAAGTTCGAGACCGCCTGCCAGTAATCCATCAAGAACTAGTTTTAAACGTACTGGGCAAACATCATCAAACGAAACACTTGTTACGTCATCGACGAAAACGAATTCAAAAACAAGTGAACCAACATCACAACAAGCAGGATTTTTCTCACGTTTATTTCATCGGACCGGCTCGACAACAAGCACAAAGCCGTCCACACCCACTAGCTCTATGCAGACTTCAACAACTCAAAAAGCAGTCAAATCAGATACAACAATCACGCAATCTCATTCAAATACTACATCTAAAACATGTGTTGTCATGTAATTCAGCATTTTGTCTTAATCTTGTTTTAAATTTATTACACACACGTCGGCTTATTTTCTTTCAGCTGTTTTATAACTATCTCTATAAAGATATAGTGAAAATGTTTGTTTTTTAAACATTGTACAGCACTTTGATATAAATGGGAATACTAATGAAATTAGTTTTTTGTACTTTTGTGTAGTGGCTATTTATTTGTATGTAAAAAATTTAATTTAGTTTTTCTATTAGGCATAATTACTTTTTTTTCTCTATTTTACTGGAGCCAAATTTGTACAGAATTTGCGTTTTTAATTTAATTCTGTTGCTTATTCAGATGAAGTTGATTTACATTGTTACTTTAACTTTTAATTGTCTTATTTGGGCATTAAATAAACGCAACCGTGACGTCTGTTAAGAATTATTACAATAGACAATATAAACTGGAACAAATTATATTGAGCTCTGCGGCTGATCCGCGCCGAATATTCGTGTTCGTCAATGAATAAAGCATCTATCATTGGGATTTAGTTCGTTGTCAGAGTAACAACCTTTTGTTGTTATTCACAAGAAGATAGCGTACCATATGTTTTTGTAGCTGCTTTACTGTACTACTCGTACTTGTTTGTGCTGAAAGTAGTGCAAAAATTGTTTTAAATGTGAACTAGGGTAAGACTGCTAGGTATTGACCGACTCTGATGATGTGTGCTCTAAGAATTGTATCGGTCAACTGTCCGATAATTTTTCTGTGCGTAATCACAACTGTCAATATATGTTCAACTCGAAAGGCGTGGTTACGATTTTTCATTCCGAATCGGATTACACGTACGGCTACGGAGCGTGATTAAAAAACAAATGATTGTGAAAATGGCTAGGAAACTGAATTAGGCTGATTTATGCATGTGTGCGACAGCGAAATTAAAAAGTTTCTATTAGTTGAAAGTTTCTAAGTATAATTTTACTGCAGGTTTCTGACAATTTTATCAAAAAATGAATGAGCTCAATTGAAATTGAGCGATTGAATACGAGGCGTGGTTACGATTTGTTTATCCAAGTTAGATCATACGATTTGCTAATGTCTATAAGCACGATACTTACGAGGATAGGTCCTCAGTAAACTTCTCAGATTTTGATGAAATATATATTGCATGTTTGAGTAAAGTACGCTGATCGCAAACCTTCAAATCTCATATCTAAATAGTTGAGAAGATACAGACAATTTAGTAGAAAAAAGGCTGAAAGTTGTGCTTTTTAAATAAACCATAACTTTTGATAGAGATCTTCTCTAAGACTACAAGTAATTTTATTTTGCAGAGAAATAGTATGTATGTCCATCACTGGTTCACTTAACACTCAACAGTTGCAAGTTTATCAAAAATATTTTCGTTTTTTGTGTTGTTGATCATGCACAACCAGCAGGTTTCTTTTGATAAATTTGCAACTGTTGAGTGTTAAGTGAACCAGTGATGGACATACATACTATTTCTCTGCAAAATAAAATTACTTGTAGTCTTAGAGAAGATCTCTATCAAAAGTTATGGTTTATTTAAAAAGCACAACTTTCAGCCTTTTTTCTACTAAATTGTCTGTATCTTCTCAACTATTTAGATATGAGATTTGAAGGTTTGCGATCAGCGTACTTTACTCAAACATGCAATATATATTTCATCAAAATCTGAGAAGTCTACTGAGGGCATTCTCTCATTAGTTCAAAATCAATCATCAGCTTCTCTTTTGCTTATTTCAAATGCAGTTGTGTTATCTAGACCTATTCTTATCAGCAAACAAAGTCTCTTCTAACGTAACTTGGTTTTTCACAACATTTGTATGCCTGCCACTTCTTTCGATAAAGCAACAAAGGAGAGTCTCTCAGTGAATTGATTAATTAAAAAAGAAATTTTTTGTTTACATTCAATAATTGATCGTGCGAGATATACAAAAAAGCGAGAAAAACATTTGAAATTGCGAGAAAATTCATTCACTTGTACGTGCAACGATAGTTTTGAGCATTAATCTACAGCGGAACACGAATTGTTATTAGATTAAAATGTACTTGAACAACAAACTTAAACAATTCGACTTTTACGATTTCTTGCAACTGCTTCTAATATATAAATAATCATTCCAACAAATGCAATAACAGCAGCAATAACGGCGTTTCTATGATCATGATAAGTGGGATATTCACTCCATAGACGATTAGCTTCAACAGCAGCAAGCACACCAAAAACGAACAAGGCAACAGCAGCGACAAATGCAAATATTGTTCTTAAACGATTCAATGGCGCTATTGTTCCTGGAAGAAGAAAAGAAAAAGAATGCATCATTAACGTCAATATCTGAGTCAGTTAAATCATACATCATACCGTCTGTTATCCACACTTGTTCAACTAACAAAAAGCCACTCATACATAACACTAGAAAATGGAATGAATACAATGGCTACGTCTCAAAAGGGATACAAATCCATACTTCACAATGTATCTATTTTAATCAATTAAAAAGTATCTCTTTTGAAAAACGAATATTTTCACAAGAAATTGCGTTTCTCAGAAGAGATACAATTAATTATAGATTCTCTCATTTCTCTAAAGAGATATATTATCTCCCATTTCTATATTCCAAATAAAAGTGAAATTAAATGAGAGGTAGAATCAATCAAGATTATCTTCAGTGGTAATTAGTACTTATATTTGAAAAAAATTCATTTTTCAAAAAGTTAATTTGTTAACTGTTTGTAATTTTAATCTTTGGTGTCTTCATCCTCATCCGTGCTAGTATCCGAACCACGAGAACACTTCTAAATAATTGTTTTTATTTATACGCTGACATCGACATTAAAAAAGATTTTTTTTTAACAATATGGCAGAAGCGAACGTCTTTTTAACTTTGCTTTCGTACAAAATCTATGATAGTTTTTTGAAGAGTGAGACAACATTGCTTTGAGCAGTATTATTTATAAACATTTCGAAACAACAGTTGACGTTTACGATTTACAAACAGTTGACAAATTAACTTCGTTTTGAAAAATGAATTTTTTTTAATAATAAGTACTACTTACTTACCACTTAAGATAATCTTGATTGCTTCTATCTCTTATTTAATTTCATTTTTATTTGGAATATAGAAATGGGAGATATTATATCTCTTTAGAGAAAGAATCTATAATTAATTGTATCTCTTTTGAGAAACGCAATTTCTTATCAAAATATTCGTTTCTCAAAAGGGTATCGTCCCGTTTCGTCGACAAATCGGGGACTTCAAAGAATATACATCAGAGAATTTCAAAGGCGGGAGGGGCGGTGTGAGAGTGAGTGTTGACGAAACGGGACTGAATCCTCAAAAGAGATACTTTTTAATTGTTTAAAACAGATACATTGTAAAGTATGTTCTCTTTTGAGACGCTACAAATACAATGTTTCGAACATGATCAATCTCCGAATGAATGATTAGCTTACATATTGAGAATATGATATAATATCCTGTTGAATAATATCGAGCATAACGAACCATATAATAATTAGACAAATAACAATGGATAACACCGATCGCAGTACATACAACTGCTAAAGCCATTAAAATAATAATGACACGTCTTAAATCAGCCATGACTTATTAATCTAAATTAATAAGAACATAAAAGTTGACTCCAACAATAAAACGATCAAATGCTAAAAATAATGGATAATCATCTTAAAATATTCTGTCTTTCTTCACAAACTTTCCTGAAAATCAGATAATAGTCAACCATCAGTAGAAAATCTAATTTTAGAAAATTGAATAAAATCCGAAAAACTATTGTCTTGTTCTAAACATCCATTATCATTGTTAAAACATGATTATCAAGTAAAAAAATTACTTACTGAATAGATAATAATATAATGTTAAAGAACAGCTATTGTTATTGTGTTATTAATTGGTTTCGTATTAACATTCGTAGTAGTAGTATCGTTCGTGATCGAGATTTTTATTTTTTACAAAGAAAAAAGTCTTTGTTGCATATAGACAACTAATACAAACATAGTCTAATAGAATAAGTATACACAATCTTTAATAAATAGGATTAGTAGATAATTTATATATATTTGGCTATACTTCAATCCATCTAGACGACACAACCACTCGGGCAAAAATTAATTAAAAAAATACAGCTCATTATAATTTTTTATATAAAAATGTGAACACTTGACTTAAACAAGTAAAAAGACGTCATACTATCAAGAGGAGTCATTAGAGTAAAGCATAAGACTATTGTCCATTCAAAAAAAGAATAACCCATGAGTGTTTTTTTAATAACTCAAGAACGGAAGCACTTAGCGACCTGCGGTTTTCACCAATAGAAAGAGCGAAGCGTGGGACGTAGGTCTATATAACATATGATGAGTCTACTGGTAAAAATATGCGTTACTTACGGCTTTAAATTTTAGTGAAAACTGCAGTACAATATACCCAGTCTTGAACATTAACCTCGGAAGACAACTGATTCAAATGTCAGGTATACGTTGAACCATACCTCTTCTTTATTCGAACTCAGCAAAATAAAATCTTGAAGTTGTTCTGTTGAAAAAGAAGACCTTCAGCGATAGAAAGGAAGTTGGAGGTTTCGAAAAAAATGTTGATTATTTGATGGCTTTTGGGGAAATTTACTCAAAAATTCCTGATATATGTTTTGTATAATATAATAATTGTTACATAGGTCTACGTCCCGCGGTTCGCTCTTTCTGATGGTGAAAACTGCAGGTCGCTAAGTGCTTCCGTTCTTGAGTTATTAAAGAAACAGTCATGGGTTATTCTTTTTTTGAATGGACAATAACTTGATATAACCCGGAAAATTTTTCATTTTATATGTAATATTTTAGGTGCATGGAGATAATGAATAAAAACAATGAGAAAAACTCCTCTAGAAACTCAAAGTATCTCTTCTCTCTACTCCTGGAAAAACGAGTCATTCTCTAGGATAGGATTCTATCAAATACAAGATTCCTGTGAGATTTTACAAAGAAATTTCTTGTGATTGCTTGTTTTTCAGGAAGTATGTCGGGACTTCATCTAAGATTGTCAAACAATTGATAAAGCAGATCGTCTATGACCAATATTTGTTTAAAGTTCAGTTACAAAATGTTGTATTTAGACGCATTTAGCCACGACCTATGTTTTACGTTGAAATCAGTATTTATTATCATTGATTTTCTTAAGCAACTTTACTAATATAATAAAATTATCATAGTTTTGTTTGCTGATGTTTTTGAAACCGATTTCTATTTTGAATATGTTAGAAGGTTAGAAATTAGTCATGTAGCTTATATCTACCTAAATAAAACCCCATAGCTTTAATGGCATCATCTATCATCTACCTTATTGATCTTCGACCTTAAACAAAAATACTTCTTCAATGCGTGTGTACCAAAATTCTTGTTCATTAATAGATCAGTGACAGTTCAGCGCAAAAAAAAATTATTTATAAAGTTCTTTTAGTGAACTACTTCATGTCACGCATCGTTATGTGGCGAAGTATATAAGCATCGGTTGCATCTTTGCGGGAAATTAAGCGCTAATATATCCTGTCTTTAGTGGAAGAATATGTTCTAGACTCGATCATACAGAAAACCTTTTTCAATTGAGCTCATTCATTTTTTGATAAAATTGTCAAAAACCTGCAGTAAAATTATACTTAGAAACTTTCAACTACTAGAAACTTTTTAATTTCGCTGTCGCACACATGCATAAATCAAGCCAAATTCAGTTTTCCTAGCCATTTTTACAATCATTTGTTTTTTAATCACGCTCCGTAGCCGTACGTGTAATCCGATTCGGAATGAAAAACTACTATCTGTTCAAAAATACAGTGCATTCCATTGATTTTTCGATAATTTTTGATAGTTTTAATTAGTGTACCGTATTTTATAGAAAAATCGTGACATCGTTTATTGATCAGTCATACACTTATTCATATTTTTGTCTAATATGTGGTGAATGACCGAGATGAGTTCTCTTTCAGTGCCCACGCACGCGATTCTATCCCAACTATATATTATTAAGGCGAATATTGTAAATAATATGTCTGACAGCATTTTGGGAGCGAACAATTATGAAAAAAATTCGAAGAATATAAACAATTTGGAGTCATATCACTAAAAGTCACTATCGCAGCGATACTCGTACTAAAATTATGATTCGTATTATGTATTCACATAAACATCAAACTAAGATAACAAAAAAAAAAAAAATTTTTTTCATCGATTTATCACTTTGATCTTACTTGTATTTTAGATGTGATTTATATTTTCATAATATTTTAATTTATCGTATTTCTTTAATTTTCTGTGCATTTCTTCTGTATACTGATGGAGGCTAACCAGCCGAAACATCCATCTTATTATATAATTAATTAACTTTATACGGGATAAAAGCATTAAACCATTTATTTATCTCCATTTCTGTAAAGAACAGCCATGAACTTTAATATTGAAAAGATATTTATTACAGACTAGATTAGAATTCAGGCGGTTTCGGTATCATACTAGGCTCATTCGGCATTCCGATCCAGCCTTGTCCAATTTAGAATCGAGATGCTTGTTTATGTTAATTCTAAATGGACCTAGTCGAATTTAGAATTAGGATAGGCCAAATTAGAATTCCGAATTCGGGTCAGAACGATTTGAAATGAAACCACTATCCGGTCAAAGATAAAGTGCACTCTATTATTTTTGAATAATTTTGATAGGAATGAGATAGAGTCTTGTGGTTTTTACCATTTTATAGAGAAGACGTAAGGGAATATCTGTGAAAAATAAAGTTGCTGGGACAACCTGTATATAGTGTACTTTGAAGCATATCATCGATATTTGTTTGCACTAATCTTAATCTCATGAGACATTGCAACAATCGAGCACTGAAAAAATATTTCGAAAAAAATTCAATAATTATGTTCAAAAGTAAATAATTAGTAATTGATGACAATAAATCAAAATGATCTTCATCAAGGTAACTACATAAAATAACTCAAAATGTTCTCTAACATTAAAGTCAATATTACGTCTCAATAATATTATTGTATTTATGCAAAAAAAATGCTTTGATAGAAATTAAATTTTGTGATTTATTTGACTTTTGAACTTTTCAATTTATAGGACAAATTTGGGAGGGACAAAATTATTTTAGAAAAATGTTCAAGGATTCTCGAAAGAAAGGTCATACTGCCTGCGAAGAAGAAACTGAAATGGTAACGTTTTTGTTAGTATTGTGAGATCGGCACACATCTATAATATAAAGTCAGAAAATCAGGTTATCTACTATCCATTTCAAAATAGAAGGTGAGTTACGGCTACTTGAATAACTACCGAACGAAAATAGATAGCGATCTGCGGTTTTCTATATTTGATGGAGGACAGTCGGGGCTATAATTCTGTTGGAAAATTCAGTCTCTTGAAAAGATTTACCACAGTGTACCTTTCGAAACCAAATGTCCAAGGTTGTCGTTCCAAAAATCTACTTCATAGTAAATTGGATTAGAAGGTTGTAGAGTGACTTCTGTTATATATCCACGTCTGTTTAGAGCAGTACTTTGCTATGTAGTAGATTTTTGGAACAGCAAGCTTGGACATTTGGTTTCGGAAGGAAGAGGTCTCATTTTATAGTCCAGACTTTTCTCTACAGTAGACTGTGTTCAGTTCAAAATGAAAAGTTTTCTGCAAAAAAGAGGAGGGGGGGAGGGGACGGTACCCTTAAGAATTAACTTTTTGTTGAAATAACGGATTATAGGCCAGACATTTCCCTACAAAATGGTATTTCGTGCGGTTCTATACGACTTTATTACAAAAAGTTATATGCACTCTTTCCAAAAGTCTTATACCATGTAAAACGGTGTATATAGTAAATTTTGTAAAGAAAACGAATTTTGAAAAAAGAGCTTTTTTGTAGAACGCTTATAATTTTTTGCAGTAAAGCCGCACTGAAGCACACGACATACCATTTTGTAGAGAAATGTTTGCTCTTCAAACCAAAATGATTACAGTTCCTCTACCACAACTGTATTAAAGTTTGTTAAAAATGATGTCTTCTTTCTTTGTACAAATACAATTTTCGATATTATCAATAAAATATTAATAACTCCGAAACAAAAAATTGTAAAAATTTTTTCAAAAAAAGTTTTGAAAAGTTTACTAAATGTGGATTTCAAAGTGTACGTTTCACTTCAGGAAAAAGCTTAATCGATAAAACCCATTGGTTTTAATTTTGTGCAAAGACTTATGCAGCAGATGTTTTATTTCGTTAACTAGTGTTATATGTGAAAATTCATGGTATTTCATTCAAATAGTAACGTCAAATCAAACATATATCAATTGAAATGATAAATTTAAATTTCACACATAATTTCTATATTAATCGAGAGTCTTCGTTATATAGTATGATTGAACATATTACGAAAATATTTGGCAATTTTATTTACACTGTTTATTTTACAAAAAAAAAGTCAAGTTTAAACATGAAAAAAATACAAAAAACTGTTCGTCATTTCGTAAGATACTTGTGGTCGTTTCTTTACATTGGTTTCCACAAAATATTTTTCTTCCCAACAAGAATTCAAATTCATCTACTATTTTAAAAAATGTCAAGATAAAAAGACGCATTCTCATCAGAATAAAAGATATTTTTGTAAACTGAATCACCATACATAAGCAACATTTTTCGATTTATAGAGAGATACTACAATCAAGAAAGTGTTCTAGAATGATAGAAAAAACGAAAGTAGAAAGTAAACAGTACAAGACGATAAACTTTTAAAAAAGCAAAGTAAAAAATAGTTCAACAAAAGTTTATCACCAGATCATATTAATAGTAAATTATCTTAAATTGTGATTGATCATAAAATTAGAATAAATAACAATAATCATACTTTATTCAATTTTTCTTAAACAAATAAATTATTCTTCTTCAACTCGATATCGTAAACTTTTTAAATTTACATCATCATCATCATCATCATCATCGTCTTTATCATTTTCTTCATCATTCATCATTTGTTGTTCACTGTCATATCTTCTCATAATATCCAAAACAAAAGTTGGTGGTGGAAATTTTAAATTTGTCTGTTGTTGTTCTAAAGTGTGTGGAGATTCTGTATGTACTTCTGTAGTGGTACGTACATCAAGAAATATCATTTTGATTATATAATTATTTGCACGTGTTGGATCACGAACAAGTCCAAATGTTTGTTCAAATATTCCTAAACATGTACTTTGTTGATGAATTGTACCATGTACAAGTATCATAACGAGACCGTGAGGTGATTCATAAATTTGATTATTATTTATATTTGGATTAAATCTTAAATTATATTTAACAATATAATCACGTAAATGACAGTAAACATTTTGTGATCCAGTTATTCGTCTATTTTCTTGCGTTATAACAAGATATACATCATCAAAAAAATGTTCTGGACAAAAATTTTTTGAATTATTCCAATTTGTATAAAACCATTCAGTAAATTGTTCAGATAATTGTCGAGTATAATCTGATGTTGTTTGATACTGATATTGTGTTTGTTGTTGATAAATTGGACAAATAGTTTGTGATGAATGTTGATAATTAAAATAATCATTTTCATTACAATCTGTAACTTTAATTGATGAATTCCAATGTTCAACAATCATTTTAACTAATTTTACTTTATCAATACCCGGTGATATTGATATTGATTTTCTTGCTAAATATTGAAGTAATAAATCACGACGAATCTTTTTTCGACGTAATAATTCCATAGGTGATTGAGAAAATGATATACATGCATCAATAGCTTCTAAACGATTATTTGTTGGATTTAACGATTTAGTAACGGTATCTTTCAATGACATTAATTCTGAATCGGATAACATTAAAAGTAATTCTTTAGCTCCTTTTATTTCAGAATTATTCATGATGATAAATTGATCTATAATTAGAAAACAATAGAGAAAAAAAACACAACTAGATTTTTGAATATCAATTTTACGATAAATTAGCTAAAGATTTTATTTTTATTTTTTTATAAGATCAAAGAATATTTTATTTCTCATTACAGGAAATCATAAATGAAAATCTAAACACCCAGTTTTTTATGCTAATGTCTTCTGATATGACACATTCTCCTTTTTCTCCTTTCCTACGTATGTTTTTCTTTTTTTCAATCTTTTTTCATTCGCATGACTTCACTCGCATCTTTTAAAGAAGAATAAAAATATGTTTTCGAATTGTCAGACGTTCGCAAAAATATTATGAGATGTAAAATACCTAACAATAATGTTAGACAAGTCTTCCTGTCGATAAATCACAGCTTTATCAGAAGTGCTCCAAATCTCTTAGTTGAATGCAAGTCAATGATTTATAAATAAGTGTTCCGAGAGGTTACGATCTAAAATGCTATTTTTTTTCTAAATCAAATGTTAATTCCCACATGGCAGACTGAAAAACCGATGGGATGCTGTTCACTAGATAAATCATTGATACAAGTACATTCTAACATATTTAAAATCGTATACGGTTGACATTATAAAAATACTCATCATCGTTTATTCTATTCATTTTAGAAAATTAAAATTTGAAATTAATACTTTTTGGAAATAAACAAAAATTTTATAGATCCATGTTATTGTGCAACATGTGATATATTAACGAAAGTAAAAAATATAGAAAAATATCAAGCTAAAGTTTGTATATTAATTACGAGAGAAAACCACCGTCAATAATTTACCTTTTTTGTTTTACTTTTTACTTTATGTATTATTGATGCAAACAAAAGCTATGAATAAATAGAAAATAATTCAAAAATAAAAAAAAACATACTATAATCAAAAATGAAGAGAAAACAACAATCGGTGTATGAAAACAAATTAGATAGCAACCAATAACTTCCATAAATATAACTTTTTTTCAAAAAAAAAATCGGCAAATATAAAGTCTAAAAGACGTTTTACTTACAGAATAAGTGGGAAAATATTTCTTGAATTTCTCATCACAGTTTAACAAGCTTATACAGATTTTTGTTTTGAAAATATGAGATGTTTTTGTACAAAAACAATAACAAAAAATTGAATACAATTCTGTCTGTAATTTTCAACACTATTCTGTGAACCATTTTAAAATTAAAGTTTGTCGACGAGTAAATTCGTTGATGTATAACTGTAAAGCATTAAGAGATAGTTAAGAAAATAAATACTAAAGGAGAAAAGAAGTTAAAAATGCTTTCATGATTCGCAATTGTGAGTAATAAAGTTAATCCTAGCCCCAAAATTTTCTGATTTTTTCGTCCATTATCTGCCAAAAAAAGAAAATACTCGTCTAATCCGAAAATAAGAGAAAAGTCTGAATATTTTCTCAATTAATACTTCATTATGTCTAAAAATGAGGTCTGGGAAAACACATTCTTTCATCATCAATCTGATTTACTCTTTTTCATTTTGTCTTATTATATCGACCTACGAGAAATCACATATCTAGACATATATAGACCTCATTGAACATAAATATTAGAACTGTTGGAAAATAATAATACATCAAAACAAGGAAAACATAACGAAAAAAACAAACATATTACAATTCATAAAAAAGTAAAGAAACAACCGAATGTAACAAATCTATTGTAAAGATCAATTGATGGTCATTAATAGTGCCACACATTAGAAAAAATGGATGGAATTATTAGAAAAAAACTAATAGATAATTTTATACGTAAGATTACGAGATATAGACGGATGGACCATAAACCTCGTTTAAAATAACGATATTAATTAATTTTTTTTCAACGACTATAATAAACACGATAATACAATGTTTTTGAACGCCATAATGAAAATGAATTATCAAATTTCAATAAATAAACACCGTGACCTGGATAAGGATGATTTCCAGCGTATATTTCTTCTTGACAATCACGACGAAAAATTGGAATGATTTCATCTTGATAGGGTTTTTGTGCTTTACTTCCTTTTTCAATATCTTTTTTCTCAACTAAAAAGATATAAAAAAAATGATATGACAAAAATCTAATGAATTATAACAAAAAAATTGACAAATGTTGATAATTATCTTACCGCCTTCTTCACCTTCCTCTTCCTCTTCACTTGAATCACTGACGTGAACAGTGACTGTATTTGATTGAGCTTTTGTCCATTCAAAATACAGACCAAAACCAATATCATAATAATCAGTGGCAAATTCCCAAAATATACATCGACCATCTTCATGAGTAGGTACACGAACCTTTTGTTTAATTTTGAATTGATTTAAATATCAATTATTTATATGAACATACAAAGATTACTTACAGTCACTGTTTCACCACTACCAATTTTAATAACAGCGTCTTTCTCTTTTCGTACATGTTCTTTAAATTCTTTGATGTCTTTACGAGTCCACATATTAGCTGGAGCAATGGGAGGATATTCTATAAATAAGAAGATTGAAGAATGTAAACACTTTCTGTTTTTTTTACATACCACGAACAATTTCTTCTTCTTGCAATTGTTGTTCACTTGTTGATTGTGAATTTGGATCAGTTTCATCAATTTTAGTCGCTGAAGACATAGGTAAGACATCTAAACCATCATTTTGTGAATTTGATATTGATTGTGGACTCCTCAAATCGGTTGATGATGTTTGATACGTAGATGTTCCTGGTATTGATGATTGAGAAGTAGTTGTACTATTATCTATATCTATAGACTGAAATTGAGATTGAATTTTTTCTATTTTTCGTTGATCATTATCACCACCACCATTAGTATTCAATTGTTGGGAATTTGTTTTATTTTGCATAACAGCGGACGATTGTTGCTGTTGTTTACTCTGCAAAGCGAAACAAATTATTAAAGAAACAAATCGATTTTATATACCTATTATTTCATTTCATTACTTGAGTGATAGCTCCTAAGGCAGATGTTGCTTTTATTTGTTGTTGTTGATGAATTAATTGTTGTTGATAAACTTGACTCATATACTGCTGAAAATGTTGCTCTTGTAATTGTCTAATTAAATCTTCTTGCTATAAAATGGAGAATTAATTTATGCATTATCAATAATTTTACAATTCAAACCTAGTTTACAGCTTGAGAATTATCACGATGTTGTTCTTCAGCGTATGCTTTGAATTGAGGATATGTTTGTTGATTTAATGCGTCTTGTATTTGTTTTCTAATAAATATGAAAAAATAAATTATAAAATTCTTATTTTTTATTTAGTTCATTTCCTAGATAAATACTTTTGTTGTTCTTCTCGTTTTTTTTTAATTTCTTCTAATTTTATCACTTCTTCTTCTTGTTTTTTTCTATTTTGTTCCGCTTCTTGCTCTAACGTACGTTGTTTTTCATCTTCTTGTCTAGAAAATAGAAGAAATAATATTTCTAATAGGAATAAGAAATGATCGATTCAATATGTATATTAGCTGTCATGAAACTAATCAGATAAATTAAACAACACCTTTCAGCTATTTAACCCTTTCAGGACCGGTTTAATTTTTATATAAAAAGTGCTGTTCAAAAGTTGAAGACCTTTTTTATTTTGCAATATCTCGGCTTCCCTGACAGATAGAGACTTCATCCTTTTGTCAAAAGAAA